TTCCCACTTGGTCAGTGCCTACAGAGCCCAGGGCAGTGCTGGGGCTCCCTCCCCGCTGTGGTGCCAGGGTCTCAGGGCTGGGTGGGTACCCCGTGCTCTCTCTGGTGCTGGCGGCTGCTGATGGGCGCTGATAGGTGCTGGCGGGTGCTGGCACAGCGCTGGCACGCCGGGGCCGATCCCCGTTAGCTGTTTCCTTCCCCCACACCCCGTGACTCACCGTGGTTCCCCAGAGCTCTTGGTTCATCGTTTCCTGCACCAGCTGTGCCCTGCGGTGCCGCCAGCGGGGCCTGGTTCTCGCTGTGCTGTGATCCAGGTGCCACCAGCTCACCTGTCCCTCTCCTCTCTTGCAGATGAGCGAGATCGTGTCCAGAAGAAAACTTTCACCAAATGGGTCAACAAGCACCTCATCAAGGTACAGTCCAGTGGGCACTGCAGCCCCAGCAGACCTCAGCCCTCAGCCCTGGAAGCATCCCCAGCTGCAGCCCCCCGTGCTGGCATTGCCAAGGCCATGGGCAGTGGAGGGTACCCTGTGCCAGTGCAAGTTCTTCTGTGCCTCACCAGTAGTCGAGGCCTCTCGGCTGCCTCCATGGTGGGGGTCTGTCCTTGCAGGCAGGAGCTGCCCCCCTGCTGCCCTCCCATGTGTTCCAGGAGGGGATGTGGGAATGTGTCCTGGGCTTTGACACCCTTGGTTCTATCCCACTCGTGTGGTCCCCGTTCCCTGCCATCGTGCCAGTGCCCATCCCTACAGTGTGGTGGGCAGAGCCCCACCTTAGCACTCAGCACATGCTGGGATGTCCTGCAGCCCCCATGGTGACGTGTCTCCACATGTCCCCAACCCCGCAGTGCCACCACAATGCCGCCACCACCCCCAGTCCACCCCGGATCCTCTCTTTGCTCTGTCCTAACTGCTCTCTTCTCTCTGCCCTGTGCAGCATTGGCGAGCAGAGGTAGGTCCTTCCTGTCTGTCTGTCCCACCGTGCTCTTCCTCTTCGCTCACCTTCCGCTTCCCTCACTGGGAACGGATCCCTGGGGCTGCCAGCGTGGCGGGCAGCAGGTCCAACCCAGCATGGTGGGCAGCAGGACCCTGTGCATGCCAGAGTGATGCTGGAGTGATGCCAGAACAATACTGGATCCATCCTGGCACCGTGGGGGGGAGTTGCTGTGTGTGTTCGGGGGGATGTGGCACTGGGGGCACCGGCTGTGCTTGGGGCCGTGTGTGAGCACCCGCTGCACCGAGCGGTCACCGGGCGCCCACCCCAGAGCTGGCTGGCAGGGATGGGGGAGCGCTCGGTTGCCCCCAGCCCCCCTGACACCGTCACTGTCCCCTCAGGCGCAGCGCCACGTCAACGACCTGTACGAGGACCTGCGGGATGGGCACAACCTCATCTCACTGCTGGAGGTGCTCTCGGGGGACACGCTGGTAGGTGCCGCGCTGCCCCCGCCCCGCGCCGCCCCTGCTCCCTGCCGCGTGCCGGCACCCCTCTGCCACCCGTCCTTGTCCTCGCCGTCGCTGCCCGCCTCTGCTCCCTCTCTTCCCGCCTGGCCGTCGGTCCGTCCCGGTGACCCCAAGTTCCCGCGCCCGCCGCCTCTAACCTCTCTTTGCTTTGGTGCCCTCTCTGCTTCCCGGCGCCGGCCCCGGCCCACCGCCGCCTTTGCCTCCTCCTCCTCCTTCCTCTCTCTGCTCCTCTCCGCTCTGCTCGGCCGGGGCAGCCCCGGGAGCGCGACGTCCTGCGGACCTTGCGGTTGGTGAGTGGTTCTGCTGTCGGCTTTCGGCACGGCCCTGCATGGCGGCCGACACCGCGATACCGGCACGGAGCAGTGCCGACGCGTGCCGAGGCTCCGTCCGCGGGGCCTGGGGTTCCATCCGTGGGCCGTGTGCTGTGCCGTCCTGGTTCTCTGGCTGCATGCTGTGCCTGTCCCGGTGCCCCATCCGATGCCAAGTGCCATGGGAGTGAGTTTCCCCGGGCCAGATGTTGGTGGCAGTGAAGTAGTGAGCATGAGTAGCGAGTAGAGAAGCGTGGCATCACTGGGAGTGATCCCACTGCACTAGGTTCCACTGGGCTGGAGTTAGATTATGGCTCCCAGCACCACAGAGGATGTGCTACTGGCTCCCTGGGATGTCTGGCAAGGGGGATAGTTCTGTGGACAGCAACCCCAGCAGGGCTGATCCTGGCCTTGACAGGCTGTGGGTCCTTGGTGACTCCCAGCTGTGGGGTGGGAGGAACCCTGGTCCATTGCTGAGCGGCATGGGGAGGTTTGGGGGCTCCCCAGCTCTCCCAGCAGTGTAAACCAGGCTCAGATGGTGGGGCCAGCAGGTGTGGGGTGTCTGTCCAGGCAGGACCTGCCCAGGGGACCCCAGCTGGGACCTGCAAGTTTTTGGGGGTGCTCACCCAGCTCAGCAGTGCCTGGTCCTGCTGAGGGGAGACACTGGAGTGTGCTGAGGAGCTGCATGGTGAGGGACTGTCAGGACCGTGGTGTTGTGGCACTGAGGCTGGCACCGGTCCTGCCCGGGCAGCGGCTGCTGTGCCCACATGCTGGGTACCTGGCTGCCCCCAGGATGGCCGCAGTGGCCCCGGCACTGGCGGGTGTGGGGTGGGAACAGTCTGTGCCGGCAGGCTCGCGGGGGGAGCACGGGGAGCGTCCCCACCCCTGCAAGGGCAAAGTGCGAGGGCGGGTGCCGTCGGCATGTGTGGCGCCGGGAGGGGCTGGAGTTGGGGGGGGCAGCGTGGCGGGACAGCGTCGTGGTTGGCGTGGCAGGGCCATGGCTGGGAAACGGGCCGGGGCTGTGCCGTGGCATCGCAGGGGGACGGGGTGGCAGGACACGGCAGGGCGGTGTCCACAGCAGCTGCACTCACTGCCCCTCTCTCCCCCAGCCCCGGGAGAAAGGCCGGATGCGCTTCCACAAGCTGCAGAACGTCCAGATTGCCCTCAACTACCTGAAGCATCGGCAGGTGAGAAGGGAGTGGGACCCCCCCCAGATGCCCAGGACCCCTCGGGGCTGTGCCATGCTCTCCCATCCCTGAACCACATGTGTCCTGTGCCACAGGTGAAGCTGGTGAACATCCGGAACGATGACATCGCTGATGGCAACCCCAAGCTTACGCTGGGGCTCATCTGGACCATCATCCTCCACTTCCAGGTGAGCCCGGTGGGGTGGGGATGGGGACAGTGATGCCAGGGGGCCAGGGTTCTGTGGTGCCAGTGTGGTCCCTGTGTGGGGCAGGAGTGGTGTCACTGGGAGCTGCCGTGGAGCGAGTGTACCTTTGTTGGCGCTGGTTCAGTGCTGGTGCCCGTGCCTGGACTAACAGTCATGTCCTGGCAGATCTCAGACATCCAGGTGACGGGGCAGTCTGAGGACATGACTGCCAAGGAGAAGCTGCTGCTGTGGTCACAGCGGATGGTGGAGGATTACCAGGGCCTTCGCTGCGACAACTTCACCACCAGCTGGCGGGACGGGCGCCTCTTCAACGCCATCATCCACCGGCACAGGTGAGTGCCACGGTGATGCCACATGACACATGGGCAGGTGTGTGTTCACCAGGGTCAGCCACATCGATCCTGTGGGTGGGGTGTGCTCACTGAGATCAGCCACATCGATCCTGTGGGTGGGGTGGGGTGTGCTCACCGGGATCAGCCACATCGATCCTGTGGATAGGGTGTGCTCACTGAGATCAGCCACATCGATCCTGTGGGTGGGGTGTGCTCACTCGGATCAGCCACATCGATCCTGTGGGTGGGGTGTGCTCACTGGGATCAGCCACATCGATCCTGTGGGTGGGGTGTGCTCACTGAGATCAACCACATCGATCCTGTGGGTGGGGTGTGCTCACTGGGATCACATGGATCCTGTGGGCAGGCATGTGTTCAGCAGGGCTGGCCGGTGATCCCACTCGGGGTGATGTGGGCATGTGCTCCCAACGAGCCCCAGCCCATTGGCCCGTGTCGGTGGTGCCGTGCCCACCATGGCGTGCTGGGGCGTGGGCAGGCAGGTCCCCACGGGTCCTGCCAGGACCGCTGTGTGATTTTGGGGAGCGAAAATATGTGCAGGGCTGTGCCAGATGGGGGGAGGCAGCCTCAATGTGCCACGTCACATCTGTGCCGTGCTCTGCACTGAGCCGCTGCCACGCCGAACTTGGTACCCCCCTGGAGCCACAAAGAGGGGCTGAGGTGTCTGCCCCAGAGGGTATGGGGGTGTCAGTCCTACGGGGGATTGGAGTGTCAGACCCACAGAGGACTGGGGTGTCAGCCCCACAGGGGGTTGGGGTGTCTGTCCCATGGGGGACTGGGGAGTCAGTCTCACGAGGGGTTGGGGTGCCCATCCCACAGGCCATGGGGGTTCTGCGTGCACTGGGGTCCCTGCTGGGGACTGCGGGGTGTCCCCAGCTCCCAGTGCTCCTGTGCCAGGTGTGGGAGTCTCAACTGCTGCTGTGCTCCCAGTGTGGGTGTGTGGGGCACGGGGTGGCGAGGCAGGGGTGAAGGCAGCCCCAGGGAGGGGAGGGACCTGCTGTCCTGGGGTTTTGGGGTCCCCATGGCCCTGCTGACCCCCACTGACCTGCTGCCTGCAGGCCGATGCTGATCGACATGAGCCGGGTGTATCGTCAGAGCAACCTGGAGAACCTGGACCAGGCCTTCACCGTGGCCGAGCGGGACCTGGGCGTGACGCGGCTGCTGGACCCCGAAGGTACGGGCTGGGGTGAACCAGGGGGTCCCCCAAGAGAGCCCGCACCCCTCCCTGCCATGGGGCACTCCCATTTGACCCCTCCCTCTCTGCAGATGTGGATGTGGCGCAGCCAGACGAGAAGTCCATCATCACTTACGTGTCCTCGCTGTACGATGCCATGCCACGCGTGCCTGAGGTGCAGGACGGCGTCAAGGCCAACGTGAGTTGGGCGAGTCGGGGAGCTGGGGAGGTCACTGCTGCTGCCACCCCCCACGGCGTGAGCCCCAGCCCCACACGTGTTCCCATCCCCAGGAGCTGCAGCTGCGCTGGCAGGAGTACTACGAGGTGGTGACAGGACTGCTGCAGTGGAGCCGGCAGCACTCGACGCTCTTCGAGGAGCGCCGCCTCCCCGCCAGCTACGAGGAGATCGAGGTGAGGTCACCAGCACAGCAAGGGGCAGGGGGACGCAGAACAGGGCTGGTGCTGCTGGCACAGCACGGGCACGGGGATGGAGTGGGACAGCGCCGCTGCTGCCAGTGAGGGGCGCAGGCATGGGGACTGGGGACAGAGACATGGACAGGGATGGTGCTCTCACAGGGATGACTGGCCCCGGGAGCCAGCAGTGCCTGGGGCAGTGAATGGTGGGGTCCCAGCTGGCCTGTGGCCCCGCTGGGGGTAGTTTGTGTCTGGCTTGCAGCCCCTTTGCTGGCACGTGGCCAGCTGTGCTGTGCTGTCGGTCACTGGGAGATCAGTTTGTGGCCGTGGAGCTGAGCCCCCACCGGTGCCAGCCCAGGGGTGTGCAGGGCGCAGGGGCTCAGAGCCGTGGCAGAGCTGGGCGTCTGGTCGGGGGGGGCCTCCCTGACTCACCCTCCCTGGCTGTGCTGTGAGTCACCGCTGGCAAAGCCCGGCACAGCCACTTCCTTCCCGCCGGCTCTGCACGCATGGAAAATTGGAGGGGGGGGGGAGCGGATTCCCAGGGAGAGGTCAACATTGGCCGGGGGTCCCTGCTCAGCTGCCCCCCCCCTCCGGCAGATCCTCTGGCGCCAGTTCCTCAAGTTCAAGGAGACGGAGCTGCCGGCCCGGGAGGCTGACAAGAACCGCTCCAAGGCCATCTTCCAGGCCCTGGAGGTGTGTGGGCTGGGGTCTTGGGGGGCTTCCGAGGGTTGGGGATCCTGGGTGTCTGGGATCCACGGGGTGGGGGGCCTGAGGGTAAGGGCCCTGCGGCTGGCGGTTCTGGGGGGCTGGGATCCCAAGGGATGGGAGCTCTGGGGCTGGGTTCCTGAGGGCTGGGGGTCCTGGGGAGCTGGGGGTCTTGAGGAGCTGGGGGTGGGTCCCAAGGGGATGATGGTCCCACTGGGGCTGGGGATCCTGGGGAGCCAGGGGTGTTGGGAGGCTGGGGGTGGGTCCTAAGGAGATGATCATCCTGGGGTGCCAGGGGTCCCGAGGGAATGGTGGTCCTGGGTGCTGGGGGCCTCAGGACACCAGATGTCCCGCGGCAGCCCCCAGCATACCCCCTGGGGGTCACGGGCAGTGTCTGACATTTGGGGGGCACAGGGTGCGGTGCAGTCGGGGCAGCTGAAGGTGCCCCCCGGGTACCACCCGCTGGACGTGGAGAAGGAGTGGGGGAGGCTGCACGTGGCTGTGCTGGAGCGGGAGAAGCTGCTGCGGACAGAATTTGAGAGGCGAGTAGAGGGGGGCCGGGGGACTGGGGGGGAAGCGGGGGGGGGGGGGGGGGGGGGGGGGGGGGGGGGGGGGGGGGGGGGGGGGG